GGTATTGACGTACATTTTACAGATTGGATTGTCTCCAATCTCTCCTTCTTCCCCTGGTGTCTAGCGAGAAAGATTACAAAGTATAAACCGTAGTCTTGATATACATCATTGAGCTATAGAGTCCATGTTTAAATCCCGATAGAAATAATTTATTTCACGATTAATTGCGGAAACAAAACTAGAACCGTGTCAATGTAAGAAGCAAGATTTTGAAAAATTAACATAAGATAAAGAGTTCAACCCCTAACATAAAATAAAGAATCCAACCCCTAACATAAGATAAAGAGTTCAACCCCTAACATAAAATAAAGAATCCAACCCCTAACATAAGATAAAGAGTTCAACCCCTAACATAAAATAAAGAATCCAACCCCTAACATAAGATAAATAGTTCAACCCCTATCATAAGATAAAGAGTTCAACCCCTAAAATAAGATAAAGAGTTCAACCCCTAACATAAGATAAAGAGTTCAACTCCCAGAAGGTGAACTACTTTTTTTAAAGATACTTCTTACGATTCGACATAAACACAACATAACATTTACCAGTTTATATTAAATTATATATATATATATCTTACCATTGCTCATAATTATTTATTAAACTTTTTACTTTATATCCAATCACTTGGATCACAGTTCAGAAAGCAAACCCAAACCAGGAAATGGATCATACATCTGTGTGGCATGCCAATATTGGATTACAGTTTAGGAAACAAACTGGAACCGGGAAATAAGTCATAAATCTGTGTGGCAGCCAATATTGGATCACAGTTTAGGAAACAGACTGGAACCGGGAAATGAGTCATAAATCTCTGTGGCATGCCAATATTGGATTACAGTTTAGGAAACAAACTGGAACCGGGAAATGAGTCATAAATCACTGTGGCAGCCAATATTGGATCACAGTTTAGGAAACAGACTGGAACCGGGAAATGAGTAATACATCTCTGTGGCAGCCAATATTGGATCACAGTTTAGGAAACAGACTGGAACCGGGAAATAAGTCATAAATCTCTGTGGCAGCCAATATTGGATCACAGTTTGAAGAGCTGTCTAGAATTAAGAATCTAATCTTGATCATTTAATCGAAAAACATTTCGAAGAGATGTTCAAAAATCTGTCAACCTAAGAAATTACCTGTTCTTTTTAATGAAAGTATCAAAGGGCTCAACAAAACAAAGACAACTCGTGTATTCAAACAATACTAACCGTTTTCGTTCAGCATAAAATACGCTCTCAGGTTTTTAGATGTTGTAACAGTACACAACTTGAAATCATGATTGGTGCAATCTCTTGTTGAGTAACGATAATGCTACAAGTAACCAAGGTAACTGGTTTATCAGTAAACTAACTAATGGAAACAAGTTCATTGGATGAACAAGTCTAGTAACAAACATGTTTAATTGGAAGTAGATGAATAAAATTGAATTCTCCAATATGTATTTCTTTGTTCCTCTGTATCTTTTGGTGTCATTAACATGGCAAATAGAACAACCCATGAAGAGCTGTATTTACTACAAGTTGACATTGGTTTATAACAGACTCTGAGCTTATGTAACCGCTTTCAGACTGATCTTAGATAGGACCCTCCCCCTATTTTCTCTTATTTAATTTTGGCCATCTGGATGAAAAGAAACAAGAATGAAATGTACTGGTATTCGTTTAAAAACTTTTGAAGTTCTACTGATAAATGATGTTGAAACTTCAATGACTTATCAGCTTTTCTATTTTTTTTAGATAAGCCTATTCATAACTTGAATATATATAAAGATATTAGTGGTTTTAACCAATTACATTTTTTTTTAATTAAACCTAAAATCTAGTCTCAGCTCAAAGACATTAAACAAATGGAAATTAGTTAGATAATGATCGGAAAAAAAATGGTAGAACCTTAACGAAACTGTAGATGATAATTTATGAGGAATGTTATATGCATAAAGAGTTACACCGTGTAGAACAATTAAAACGTGTATTATGCATGTAACTTGTGTAACAATATCTGTACATTTACATGTACAGCAATTAAAACGTGTATTATACATGTAATTTGTGTAACAATATCTGTACATTTACATGTACAACAATCAAAACGTGTGTTATACATGTAAGTTGTGTAATAGGAAATGCGTTACAAACTTGTGTGACACACAAGTACTGGATCACAGTTTGAGAAGCAGTTTTGAATTAAAACGTGTAGTATGTGAGTGATTTGTGTTACAATATTTGTCATATACCACAATTAAAACGTGTAGTATGTGAGTGATTTGTGTTACAATATTTGTCATATACCACAATTAAAACGTGTAGTATGTGAGTGATTTGTGTAACAATATTTGTCATATACCACAATTAAAACGTGTAGTATGTGAGTAATTTGTGTAAAATATTTGCACGTTTACATGTGCAAGAAATAAAACGTGTAGTATACATGTAATTTGTGTAATAGGAAATGCGTTATAAACTTGTGTGACACACAAGTACTGGATCACAGTTTGAGAAGCCGTTTAGAATTAAAACAAGTATCATGCAAGTAAATGTGTAACAATATTTGTCATATACCACAATTAAAACGTGTATTATGTGAATGACTTATGTAACAATATCTGTACATTTACATGTACAGCAATTAAAACGTGTATTATACATGTAATTTGTGTAACAATATCTGTACATTTACATGTACAACAATTAAAACGTGTATTATACATGTAATTTAAGTAACAATATAGGTACATTTACATGTACAACAATTAAAACGTGTATTATACATGTAATTTGTGTAACAATATCTGTACATTTACATGTACAACAATTAAAACGTGTATTATACATGTAATTTGTGTAACAATATCTGTACATTTACATGTACAGCAATTAAAAACGTGTATTATACATGTAATTTGTGTATCAATATCTGTACATTTACATGTACAACAATTAAAACGTGTATTGTGTGAGTAGTTTGTGTAACGTTTTGTAATTTCATGTGGCACTTAATATTAAAAACTTTCACATTTTGTTTTTACCGTGAACAACAGTATTCAAGAGCATTTTAAAAGGTAGTAAAATTTAAAAATTCATACTGCAGAAAAGGATTGTGAGTAAAACCTTTTGTTCCATTTCCTTATTTTCGTAGACGAAGATAATTTGGAATTATACACCTCACAATGTGACAAAACTCACATTTTTAATGTTAAATACCGTAAAGAATCAAATTTTTATAACAAAAATTTGTGGTCGAATCCAAAAACGTCTCTGTTGGAGATTTTTTATTTATGCATTTTTAATCACGATAACAACGTCCTACCACGAGATGTTAATAATCCTTCGACCAATTTGAAGTTATCTTTCAAATTTTTCAGAACTTAAACAAACTGTTCCTCGTACGTCAAATTATGACGTAAAACCGCGTGAATAGTAAATTAACTGTTTTTCACATATGTAGAAGTTTATTATTGAATGATGTACAAAAAAACAGGTTTATTCTGCTTCTAAGTAAAAGATAGATTTGATACAACAATACAAAATATAATGCTTAATATACATTTGTGCAGTGGATTGGGCCTAAAGCGGTAACTATTATATATTAAAGTCTTGCTATTAGTATAATTACTTGTAAAACTGGTTTGATTTGAATTTCGCGTTCCTTTGTAGAATTAACGAAACCAGTCGTGAAATTACCTGTTCTGCAGTGTAAAATTGGTTTGAATTTCGCGTTCTTTTGTAGAATTAACGAAACCAGTCGTTAAATCGCCTGTTCTGCAATATAAGATTGGTTTGGTTTGAATGTTGCGCAAAGCTATCTACGCTAGTCGTCCCTAATTTAGCAGTAAAATACTAGAGGGAAAGCAGCTAGTCATCACCATCCACCGCCAACTCTTGGGCTACTTTTTTATCAAGGAATAGTTGGATTGACTGTCACATTATAACGCCCCCACGGCTGAAAGGCGAGCATGTTTGGTTGGACGAGGATTAGAACCCGCGACCCGCAGATTGCGAGTCGAGCGCCATGCCAGGCTAACTGCAGTGTAAGAATTGGAAAGAAGTGTCGTGACCTCCGTATTAACCCCCCGACTTAGCAGTATCTTGAGCTGGAAAGAAGTGTTGTGACCTCCGTATTAACCCTTGACTTAGCAGTATCTTGAGTTGAAAAGAAGTGTCGTGACCTCCGTATTAACCCCCCGACTTAGCAGTATCTTGAGCTGGAAAGAAGTGTTGTGACCTCCGTATTAACCCTTGACTTAGCAGTATCTTGAGTTGAAAAGAAGTGTTGTGACATCCGTATTAACTCCCCGACTTAGCAGTATCTTGAGGAATTGCCCAAATTCACGTCACGACAATTTCGGTTTATGCAGGAAAACCACGGAAATATTGCCAAAATACGCAGTAACCTTGCCTTTTTACGTGCTAAATTGGGGGACTATAAGAGGGGGACTGACGAGACAAACTGGTTCGTTGTGATAGCTTCAAAGTAAAAAAAATACACTGAGTAAGGCTGCTGAACAGCCTGTTAAAATCCCACTTTATGTGACCCATTTAGAATGGCACGTTCAGTAAAATTTTTACGAGGTAGATGTAGGACGATACGGTCGGTAAAGTTGCCGAATAGTCTTTAATACGTCATAAATTCTTTCAAGAATAGCAGCAAGTTAATTCTCAAAATAAAAAAGTTATAAGAAATCCAATATCTACACTTACAACTGGTGGTTATATCAATATGGCAACAACCAGCGGTTACGTTAATATGAAATAAAAAACAGTTCTGCTTAATGGTGTATAACACATCCTTTCCCACCTCCTCGTCATACCTTATACAGCACAAACGTGCAGAGCAAGACCTGCGTATTTTTATCTGAAATTTTATCTTAATCTAAACATATCTTTAACTATCTGCCAAACATTTACTGTAAAGTATGCGTTAAACTCACGTAGTTACATAACATGTTTCCTAGGTTTACTTTACTTTCTAGCGAAATAAGGTAAACAACTTCAACTTACCACTTCGTTCCCGTGAATGTCCTGACTGAGTGATCCGGGAACGTCCTGACTAGGTGGACTGTGGTTCTGCTGACTAGGTGTCCCGTGTACGTCCTGATAAAGTGACCCGGGGACTTTCTGCCTAAGTGGTCCGAGGATGTCCTGACTACGTGACCTAAAGATGTTCTGACTAGATGACCTGTGGACGTCCTCACTAGGTGACCCGTGGATGTCCTGACTAGAAGTATCGGCTAGTAATTGTTACTCAGAAGCAGTATTAAGACTATACGGTCTCAAGTGGTTTTCAATAAAGTTTCAAACGTTAATGGTAAGATTTGCCATTTTATGAACAGTCGTTCGGAAAGCTTGATTTACAGACATACAGTGGAGAATTTATGTGTTTTGGCCTGCATCTTATAAGACGGAAGACTTCTGGAAGATGTTACAGCCAATAAGCAATGCTAGATCTGTATAAATAACTATATTGTTTGTTTCGTGTTTTCTAAAATACCACAACTCATCTTTACGTTTCTAAAGAGTTTTACACCAGGAATGAAGCATATATAAGCTGCATCCTCAGCTTTCAGGACCATTTCGCTGTAGAATGATCCCGACTGAAGTCTGTGTCTCTTCTGCCGCCCAGGCAGTTTGCTGTTGGGCGGGGACTTAACTTGTCAGCTGAGTGGGAGGGTCCTCTTGTCCTAGGACGATACCACACCGTCGATAATGGCCGGCATTAGAGAGTGTATTTCACTAGTTCTAGTAATACACACGGGGTAGTTTTTTAGGCTAAGCTCTAAATGTCATATTAGTTATTCCAACCAACTGATCGCAACTTTTATATAACTTTCTTAATATTTTGAATATCCTTGAGAGTTATGTATTGATCCTAGAAACTAAACATTATTTTATCAATACAGAACCTAAAGTTTTAATTTCACTTCCTTGCTTGTAGACTCAGCATTAGAGTCATATCAGGTATTAAATACTAAATTTTGTGTTTCTAACAATATTTTGTGGCTTGGGTTGTTTTGAATTTCGCGCAAAGCTATACGAGGGCTATCTTCGCTAACCGACCCTAGCAGTGAAAGACTAGAGGGAAGGCAGCTAGTCATCACCACCCACCGCCCACTATTGGACTACTCTTTTACCAACGAATTGACCGTCACATTACAACGCCTCCATATCTGTAAGAGCGAGAATGTTTGGTGGGACGGGGGATTCGAACCCGCGACCCTCAGATTGCGAGCCGAGAAGCAATATTTTGTGATTTCATTGTGTATCTAGTAACATAACATCTGCTGAGTCTCCACCCATAAACAGATAAATGCTTCGAACTGGTGTATTTATCATTCTATAGGTATTTGAATACAACCGTAGAGAAACATAACAATCACACTTTTATAATGGCATAACAAATAATCATAGCAAATGCTCTTTGGAGCTTGTGCGAGTTATAAGTGTAACGGAAGCGTCTCTAGTTTTACAGATGGTTATGTGGCAGCAACTTAAATACTATTTAAAGTTTTATTGAAGTATATTACACTGGAAATACAAAACTCTTCGATTTCATCGTGTAATAGATTTTTTTAGTTGACTTTTTTTTTTCGAGAAGGGAGGAGTACTACAATGTACAGATAGAGTTATGGATTAAGTCATAGTAGGTGTGTGTGTCTGTGTTGTTTTTTTGTCTTGTTTTAATAGAATCAACATTAACATAGAAAAGGAACATAAAACTATAGAGATCATTCTCTAACTACCTTTCATGATATTATCTTTCCACGGAAATCACTCGATTGTTTAAGAGTTTAAAGTTTTTTTATATTACCAGTCAATAAAGAAGGGAGTTAATCAAACTGATAACTGATCAATACTTTTTGTTATTCTTATAATAATAAAACCACCACAAAATACTTTAAATAATTAGACATCAACTTTTATTAAACTGTATTCATATACGGATGTTATTTACAGCTTATATGTTTTAGTGTATTTACAGCTTATTTATCTTAGTGTATTTACAGCTTATTTGTCTTGATGTATTTACAGCTTATTTGCCTTATTGTATTTACAGCTTATTTGTCTTAGTGTATTTACAGCTTATTTGTCTTGATGTATTTACAGCTTATTTGCTTTAGTGTATTTACAGCTTATTTGCCTTAGTGTATTTACAACTTGTGTATCTTAGTGTATTTACAGCTTATTTGTCCTTAGTGTATTTACAACTTGTGTATCTTAGTGTATTTACAACTTATTTGTCTGGACGTATTTACAGCTTATTTGCCTTATTGTATTTACAGCTTATTTGTCTTAGTGTATTTACAGCTTATTTGTCTTGATGTATTTACAGCTTATTTGCTTTAGTGTATTTACAGCTTATTTGCCTTAGTGTATTTACAACTTGTGTATCTTAGTGTATTTACAACTTATTTGTCTGGACGTATTTACAGCTTATTTGCCTTATTGTATTTACAGCTTATTTGTCTTAGTGTATTTACAGCTTATGTATTTTAGTGTATTTACAGCTTACGTGTCTTAGTGTATTTACACCTTGTTTGTCTTGGTGTATTTACAGCTTGTGTATCTTAGTGTATTTACAGCTTGTGTATGTTAGTGTATTTACAGCTTGTGTATCTTAGTGTATTTACAGCTTATGTATTTTAGTGTATTTACAGCTTAAGTGTCTTAGTGTATTTACAGCTTATTTCCTTTAGTGTATTTACAGCTTATTTGCCTTAGTGTATTTACAGCTTGTGTATGTTAGTGTATTTACAGCTTGTGTATCTTAGTGTATTTACAGCTTGTGTATGTTAGTGTATTTACAGCTTGTGTATCTTAGTGTATTTACAGCTTATGTATTTTAATGTATTTACAGCTTAAGTGTCTTAGTGTATTTACAGCTTATTTGCTTTAGTGTATTTACAGCTTATTTGCCTTAGTGTATTTACAGCTTGTGTATCTTAGTGTATTTACAGCTTACGTGTCTTAATGTATTTACAGCTTACATGTCTTAGTGTATTTACAGCTTATGTGTCTTAGTGTATTTACAGCTTATGTGTCTTAGTGTATTTACAGCTTGTGTATCTTAGTGTATTTACAGCTTACGTGTCTTAATGTATTTACAGCTTACATGTCTTAGTGTATTTACAGCTTATGTGTCTTAGTGTATTTACAGCTTACATGTCTTAGTGTATTTACAGCTTATGTGTCTTAGTGTATTTACAGCTTATTTGTCTTGGTGTATTTACAGCTTATTTGTCTTAGTGTATTTACAGCTTATTTGTCTTGGTGTATTTACAGCTTATTTGTCTCAGTGTATTTACAGCTTATGTATATTAGTATACGGTGAAAAAAATTATGGTCATGTAAAAGTTGTACAAATAAGACATTTGACTCGTTTAACAAAGACTTTACAATGAGTAACTTTCATCAGATTAGTTTGAATGACTGGGATAATAACAAGACATTCATTCAGTTAGAACTGATATCTAAATTAAGTGTCTTACTTAATTAGTAGCAGTGAATCAAGTTAACTAATTTATGTTAAACATGCTCGGTAATCAGTGAGTCGAGTTAAAGTTGTTATTTTTTAAGATATCATCCCTGACACTATCATCTATTTGCTCAGCGAATTGCTAGTGACCTATTTATATCTTTATCGACTGTGAAATTAAACATATCAATCTAAACAGACAAAAAAAGATTAGTTTGGTTGATAAGTCTACATTCACGTGCTTATAATGCAGCTCACCGAATCACTGAAATGGAATTTCTGTAACACAACACCGATAGCCGACGACTACTCGCAAGCGTTGATTCAAGTAATAAAATGTAACTATTTTAACACTAGCTGGAGTACCCGTCTCCTGGACAGAAGTTATGTAAATTCATGATTAATGAAAAGGTTATCTTTGGACATGAAAAGTTGCTTTCCTTATAGGAAATTGTAAAAAAATGCCCATAAAAACTGCAAAACACAAAATGTGAAACCACAGGTTTGCAGGTATCTCTGCATGGACCCAACAAACCTTCATGCCAAATTTGGTGAAGATCCATCAACAGGGGGCGAAGTGGTGGTAAAAAACGCAAATACACCCATAAAACCGCAAAATAGAAAACTAAACATTTGTATGTACCCCTCATGGACCTAATGAGCCTCCATACCAATTTTGATGAAGATCCTTCCACACACTGCGAAGTAGAGACAGTACTATTATATTTATATAGATTTGTTCAAACATATGAAGCTTGGTAGGTTAAAGAAACTATTTCAAGCCAAGATACAACAACCCACGTTTTACTATAGTTCGTTTTATACATCTAAATATAATTACGTATCTCCACGTGAAACCAAGCCAGTCATATCACGGTTTATTGGATATTCATAGATTATTTTCTTAGTTCGGTGAACAGCATAAAACGAAGTTATTTTGTTTGTAAAATTTGTTTTCCATAAATTAGTAACTTGTGTCATATGATCTTATACATTGAAACATTAATTGTTGATTTGTTTTGTATATATAATGTGAATCTGAGTTATTCATTTGCTTTGTATATATAAAATAAATTTGAGTTATTGGTTTGTTTGTACACGAGAAACACTACACTTTAAATACTACACTAGAGACACTACACTAGAAGTAATACACTAGAGACACTACACTAAAAGTTATACACTAGAGACATTACACTATAAATATTACACTAGAAACACTACACTAAAAGTTATACAGTAGAGACACTACACGATAAATACTACACTAGAGACATGACACTAGAAATAATACACTAGAAACAATACACGAGAAACACTACACTAGAGACTACACTAGAAACAATACACGAGAAATACTACACTAGAGATACTACACTAGAAATAATTCCGCTTGAGACACTACACTACAAATACTACACTAGAGATAATACACTAGAAACAATACGTTAGAGACAATACACTACAGATAATACACTAGATACAATACACTAGAGACACGACACAAGAAATAATACACGAGAAACACTACACTAGAGATACTTCACTAGAAATAATTCCACTAGAATTATTTCTACACTAGAATTATTTCTACACTAGAAATAATACACTAGAGACACTACACTACAAATACTACACTAGAGATAATACACTAGTAACACTACACTAGAGATACCACACGAGAAATAATACACTAGAGACACTACACCAGAAACACTACACAAGAGAAAATACATTAGAAATGAAATACTACACTAGAAACAATTCGGCTAGAGACACTAAACTAGAGATACTACACTAGAAATAATACATTAGAGACACTACACTAGAGATAATACACTAGAAACAATACGCTATAGACAATACACTAGAGACAATACACTAGATAATACAGTAA